AAATATTAACATTTCTAAATCTTTTAAGCATACAATGAATTGAAGAGAACAAGTACTTTAAGAAAATTAACATAATAAATCGCCACTTAAATTCAGTATTACTAAAATCTGACTAAACTACTGTAGTATTTAGACAATGATGACAAAGCAAAAACAAGGGACTCTGAAAGCAGTCTCTTTCAGACCAGACATACTAATTATTTTGTAACCTTTTTCCCCTTCTTGCAAAACAATGACAACGCTTACCAAGTCTTAAATAAAGGATGGCTCATTGAAACTTTCAAATAAATAATAGTACTCAATGTTTATATTGTGGATTTTTTCACCATGGAGCTCTAAGAATTATCAAATAATCAGGGACTTTTTGGGTTACCTACTTTACATCCAACATCATCTTAGCCCTTGCCTTAACGAAGAAGTTTTAAAAGTGATTTCAAGCATATTATCATTACATTCTTAACTGGTTCCAGAAGTAGAGATTTAGTAATTCATCATTTATTTTTTTTCAATGAATTGTTCACCAGTATAATAACTTTTCCGTTCACCCATCCATTCACCCACCCACTTATCTAGCTACTTACAAATGTTTCTTAAACAGCCACCACAAGTGAGGTCTTATGCAGGTCTCAACGCAGACATGGGCCCCAGCTCTCACGGAACCAACGATATAGTGAATTCTATAGCATAAATTCTAGTAAGATCTCTATAATTATACTGTTTCCATCTAAAATATTTTTTGAAATATATTTTTCGCAATTAAAACTCAGGAAATTAATTTGAGATATATAATATAAACTACACAGATATAAAGGTAAGGACACTTCGAAAGAGAATGGAGTCCTTGTGTAAAGATAGCTGAGTTCAACAGACCCTGACCTGTGCAGGCTGAAGTGATTAGATCACACAATGAGTTGTGCCCATCCCCCACTTGGCAAAGCAGGGTGGTGGCCCGTGGAAATCAACAGAGTAGTCAACTTCTGTTTTAATGTTTTGTTGAAATGCCTTTTATTTTTTATTTTTTATTTTTTTTAATTAAGAGAACAGAAGCTACAGGCAAGGCAAAGTTTGGGCTGAGTCTGTCCTAGATTCCCATGTCAAGTTAGGGTTCACAAATTCTTCTGTTTCCTGGTCTCTGAAGCGTCTAAAAAGGCAGATTAATAATTATTCCTGATTCACAGGACAAACTGAATCATCATGCTAAGAGAAATGGAACATTTCCTCCTGAGAGATCTACACATATTGCTTAGCTTTGGATGTCTCTCTGGGGGGATTAGCTCACAGAGAGAGAGAGTTCTTAACAAGAGTCAATGTATTCACCTTCACTGCCATGGCTTCACTACAGCAATTGCTATAGCTGTTTTCTTTTATTTGGATTAGAGGTGGGTGATACAAACCTGGTAGTTTAGATCTTTCCCTCCCTCTGCCTTGGGAAATTGTCGACAAAACTACAAGAGAATCACTGGGGAGCCTGGGTCGCTCAGTCAGTTAAGTGTCCAACTTCAGCTCAAGTCATGATCTCACGGTTCGTGAGTTCGAGCCCCGTGTCGGGCTCTGTGCTGACAGCTCAGAGTCTGGAGTCTGCTTTGGATTCTGTGTTTCCCTCTCTCTCTTCCTCTCCCCTGCTTACACTGGGACACTTTCTCTCTCTCTCTCCCTCTCTGTCTCTCAAAAATAAATAAACATTAAAAAAAAAAAAAAAAGAAACAACTACAAGAGAATCAGGCTTTAAATGTATAGACCCAGAATGACAGAATGAACTGTCTGTCCTGTAGGAATTCTGAATGACTCACACGAGCTTTCTGTTCTTATGCTCGTGTCTCAATTATAACAATTTTTCGGATCATAATGTAGTTGTTTTGACATTCTCTCCATTATCACTATTTTCTGTATGTCACCTTTGTAATAATTTTCGGAGCATGGTATATTTGTTTATTTGTGTGTCCATGTTTGCTCACTAGGCTATGAGTTTCTGCAGGGCAAGAGTTGTGTCTTTTCCCTTTGGTATCTCCAGCGACCAGCACAGAGCCCTATACACAGAGGAGATCAGTTAAGCGTTTGTTGAGTGAATGAATGAATGAATGAATGATTGGGAGAATCTCTCTGAATGCTCAATGGTGAGGATTCAGGAGTCTATATCGATTGGTTGTTAACGCAGTCGCTCGGCACAGTGGGCTGGTCTGACCACATGTGGGCCTGCTTTGCTTTTCTACAACATTATTAATATTCAGGGTATTACTATATCCCACTATCTTCTAATGGAGTTATTTTTGTAGCTTGGATGAAAAAAAAAACTGCTATATTATTTCAAACGATTGTGAAATAATAAAACAAACAAAAACCTCAAATGCCAGAAAACATAATTTTCATGGAACTTCACGAAAAACAGCTCTGCCAGATCCACTCACAAATTATACCCACAAGGAGAAAATGGCCTTACAGAGTACCAAGTGCCATCCATTATTTGTATAATAGGAACAAGAATGTTTGCCATGCAGCGCTGTGTGGTTAAGATAAAAATATCTTCTCAAGTAAGCCAGGGCATTTCCTCCACGTTAAGCCACATGATGGAACAGTGAGGGAGAAATGATTTATTGATTATAACATTGAAAAGTTACTTTTCTGAATCAATTCTTGTTTAAATAGGACAAGGTTGAAAGCTAAAGCCATTTGAGATTTAGGATTCGGACACAGGGGCGTAAAGAAATATGCTCGTCATTGTTTGGAGCATACATCAGGAAATTTTAGGTTTCTGGTTTTATCTATTAGGATTGAGTGGGGACGTATTTAACAGAAAGCCCCAAGTAATGGTGGATTAAACCTAAGTGTTTATGATCTTTCATGTAAAAGAAGTCTTTGGGTAAAGAGTACAGGATTGAGGGGCGCCTGGGTGGCGCAGTCGGTTGAGCGTCCGACTTCAGCCAGGTCACGATCTCGCGGTCCGTGAGTTCGAGCCCCGCGTCGGGCTCTGGGCTGATGGCTCGGAGCCTGGAGCCTGTTTCCGATTCTGTGTCTCCCTTTCTCTCTGCCCCTCCCCCGTTCATGCTCTGTCTCTCTCTCTGTCCCAAAAATAAATAAAAAACGTTGAAAAAAAAAAATTAAAAAAAAAAAAAAAGAGTACAGGATTGACATAAAGGCTCCTCCTCCTTTCTGCTTCACCATCATAAACACTTGGTTCCATTCAAGTTTGCCTCGTGGTTCCAGCATTGCTGCTGGCGTCCTAGCGACCACATCTGCACTCCAGGCAGTAGGAGGAAGGAAGGGGGAAAGGTCACTCCTTCCTGCCGAATCAGCTCTCTTTAAAGGAAATTCCTGGAAGCCCCCATCCAATGATTTTCACTTACATCTCTTTGACCGCTTCTAGCAGTGAGAGAGGCTGGAAAACACCATTTTCATTCTGTGTACATGTGTGACTCCAAATAAAATTTGAGTTTTGTTACCAGAGAAGAGAGGAGATGGCTGATGGGTAGCAAACCAGCAGCCTCTGCTACAAGAAGAACCAGACAGAACACAGCTAAAACAAAACATCATTTTTTCTCGGAGTTATTGGATAATCAGGGTACTAATGGGATCGTGTATGCAGAGATACTCCAAGTGTGAGCACATTTCATGCCTGAGGCCAGAGCAGGGATGCGCAGAAATACTCTCTAGGGGAAAGGCAGGCTATTGATCTGTTGAAAAGTCTCATGGGGTAGTTAATATTCATTACTTTGGTGAATTTAACAAAGTTCAGGGTTTGGTCTCCATTATCGTGGGGATTGAGACTTGAGACTTGGCACAATGAGAGTGAATTTGACTCTTTAAAAAGATTTTTTTTGGGGGGGTGGGGAGGGCGCCTGGATGGCTCAGTCGGTTAAGCATCCGACTTTGGCTCAGGTCATGATCTCACGGTTCGTGAGTCCAAGCCCCGCATCAGGCTCTGTGCTGACGGCTCAGAGCCTGGAGCCTGCTTCGGATCCTGTGTCTCCCTCTCTCTCTGCCCCTGCCCTGCTCACATTTTGTCTCTGTCTCTCAAAAAGTGAATAAATATTAAAAAAACATTTTTTAAAATGTTTTTATTTTTGAGAGAGAGAGAAAGACAGAGCATGAGCAGGGGAGAGGCAGAGAGAGAGAGAGAGAGAGAGAGAGACAGAATCTAAAGCAGGCTCCGGGTTCTGAGCTGTCAACACAGAGCCCGACGCGGGGCTTGAACTCGTGAACTGCGAGCTCATGACCTGAGTCGAAGTCAGAAGCTCAACCGACTGAGCCACCCAGGTGCCCCAAGAGTGAATTTGACTCGTAAAGAGAAGTCCAAATAACCCTAATTTAGAGGTTAAAAACTATTATCACAGATAGCAAAACGTGTATTTGTATGCAATAAGAAATGCCCGTTACAGGGAGAAAAAACAGTCACAGAGGTTTGCTTGGTGAGAGTGGGATTAGGAAACGACCAGGTAAGTCAGCTGAATGCTTAGTGGAATTGGGCTACAGTGAAAATGGTCTTGCTGGTCCCTCCTTCCCTTTTTCATCATTTCTGGTTGGTCCACTGCCTGTGTTGCCTCCTTTTCCCAGTATCCACAGCTGCCCTCCTCCCCTTCAGCCTGGGCTGCTAATCTTAAGAATTTTTGACCTTCAAACGGCAGTCTTGCAGGCTTGGGAACCTCACCATCTCTTCAGGGCGATCTTGTGGGTCTCTGCTTTGATCCCATACATACATGGAGTTTAAATTTTAACTCTCAGAGGACAATTTCCTTCTACTTACTTCTAAGTTCTCAAGACAAGCCTCAGGGTAAACCTCGAGTAGGCTGTTACATAGACGTGCACCGTCAAAACCAGAAAATGAACACAGTCTTTTCGCGGTAGGGAATAAAAGGTGATGAGGAGAGCGTGCCATTCTGGAGCTGACCGATGTGACTCAGCAAAAGAGACTGAAGAAGTTAACGTTAGTAAACAGGAAGTCAACGTGTGAAACCTTAAAAGCAGGGCTGAGTCACTCAAGATACAAAGAACCCAAATGTGCAGTCAGAGTGCATTTGGTGCTCAAATAACTTGCAAGATGACATACGAATGGCTGTGCAGGTGTGCCTCGGTAATCCTGTGAAAGGGTAAGCTTTGGAGAGATCTAGAAGCATTACCCTAAGACAGGTGGAGCTATCTCCTTTCTCCATCACATGTGTTCCCTGTCCCAAACAGAGAGCTTAATCAAGAGGAAGAGAGTGTCTGGCAGACTGAGAACAGCTCTCCTTTAATGAGACACCTTTCTGAAGTAATCAAGTTTGAAGCACTTCTCTTCTTATCATTTCAGGGTAAGTGGAGATTTATTACATGCAGAGGGTCAGACAGTAGGACTAATCCTGCTACCTGGTTCTGGACTGGTTTAGTCACTCACCTGAATGCGTATCCGTTTAGTTCTTGCATTATATTGGTCCTAATTGCTTTTAGGGCTGTCACGTTGTGTTAAAAATGGTTGGACGTAAAGTGAATCACGAAGCTCTTTTCAGTATCTGTGGAGAAGGCAAATGTGATCCGTCCACAGTCGCAAAGAAGGGAAACAGTGGGATCTTTTAGAATGACAGCAGCCAAGCGTGTTCCCCTACAGTCTTTGAGCAGTTTTTAAAATCTAGGTATTTACCTCCTTTTGGCTCTCAGCTTTTCTTAGAGGCCATAGAGGGACTCAAATAATCTCTCAAAGATGAAATTACCCAAACTAAAACACTATATATTTTTTTAATGCTTGTATTTATTTTTGAGAGAGAGACAGTGTGTGAGTGGGGGAAGGAGCAGAGAGAGAGGGAGACACAGAATCCGAAGCAGGCTCCAGGCTCTGAGCTGGCAGCACAGAGCCCGACGCGGGGCTCGAACTCACGAACTGAGAGATCATGACCTGAGCGGAAGTCGGAGGTTTACCGACTGAGCCACTCAGGCGCCCCCCAAACTAAAACACTATATACTTTTAGTCTAGTTTGGGAAGATTTTGGTATGTTTCATAAAATACTACTTCCCTGGGAGGATGAGGGATACTTTTCAATTGTGGGCTCCATCACCAGTACTCGTCAAAATAAACTGTTGATCTTCCAGTCAAAGAGTCACCAGATGTACCATAGCTGTTGACAGAAGCTTCCTCTCTGGCGGTCTTACCTGGTTTGACTATTGGATGGGAACAGCATGGAGTCTAAAATCAAAACAAGTCTCAGGTTTTAGTGAAAGTTTTCAGGATACTCACCAACTGTAATCAGAGGGCATCTCAGTAGTCCTTTGGCTAGATTAAAGAGACTAGCAACTGTATATTCCATAGATTTGGAATTTAGATGAAATGTATAATACCTTCTAAAAAATGTTTATTTATTTATTTTGAGAGAGAGAGAGACAGCAGGGGGAGGAACAGAGAGGGAGAGAGAGAATCGCAATCAGTCTCCTTGCTGTCAGTGCAGAGCCGGATGTGGGGCTCTGTCTCATCAGCTGTGAGACCATGACCTGGGCCAAAATCAAGAGACGGATGCTCAAATGACTGAGCCACCCAGGTGCCCCTGATGGCGACTCCAGAGTCTCAATTTCTCCTCTTTCTTCTCTTAGGAAATATAGTCTGGGATTTATGGGTCAAAATCAGTATATTGTTAATGAATCAAAATGACACAAAATGCAATACTGAAAGAACCTATTTACTACTTACTTTCAAAGTGGTGCTATAATTTTAATTAGGTTCCTTTTTAACCGAGTGCATCTGCTCGTCTGAGTATTTCTAGTAGAGTAATCTTGGTGACTGATTTCTAAGAACCGTGACAACAAACAACAACAACAACAAAACAAATAAAAGCATCCACCTTTATGTGAATGTAAGAAAACCCAATGGTGGCACCTAGAAATGAGCACTATTTATCCTCCGGAACCCAAATGAAATATGGCGGCTGAGATTGACTCTTTGGTTTCTGACTGTTGACGGAGAAGCCTGAATGACTCCCCCCATCCTCCACCACCATATTAGAAATTGTCAGAACTCTAATCACGAATCAGGGGACAGTCACGGTCAAGGACAGTGAGACTCTTGGGTGCCCTTACTGAGTTGCACTCTGGTCTTCAGTTCGCAGTTCACACTGTAGGATTCATAAAAAACAATCCTAAGACACTTACTGTCCTTTTCTATTAGATGTTTTTAAGGGTGGCTTTATCAGTGGCTTTCAGAATTGTTCTTTTATCAGAATCAATTGAATTGCTTTTCAATAGTGCAGACTTTCAGGTCCACCTCAAGCCTATTAAATCTGAATTTCTGAGCGAGGGATTGGGGCAATGTGTGTTACAAAAGTATCTTCACAAGGGATCTGATGCAGCTGAGAAGGATACAGGAACGCTGACACAAGGTCCTTCGACACAGATCACCCCAAGTTCTCTCCAGGCTCTGTGCCAGCCCCAGTGGTCCCACTTCTGGGCAGATAAGTTTATTTTTATTTCCTGGATATCGTAATTCATATAACTGATTGTGTTCCTCTTTTTGCATCGACTGATGTGAAGCATAAAGGCAAATATGGCTCCTTCGAGCAACAGTGTGGGAAGAAAATTGTGGCCCTTTGGGTATTAACACCCCTGTCTTCATCATTCTTCAAAGCTCTCATTCCCCCTTTGCCTCGGTTTCTTTACCAAATTATTTCTTTGTTTATAATTTAAAAAATTCTTTTTTTACCTTTTTACCCCCTTCACCCATTTCTCCCCCCCC